CCCCGCCGGCGCCGACGTCGCCGCGACCGTCACCGCGGCCTCAGGCCCGCGCGGGGCGGCACCGGGGCCCGCGAGGGACGGCCTGGATCCCACCCGCCGGGCGCTGCTCGCTCCCGCATCCTCCCGCTTTCCCCATTCCCGCTACCTTGGCACAAGCGGCGCCGTCCTCCCGCTCCAGCCGGGCCCGCGCGTCCTATGTGACTCGCATGAAGATGCTCCGGTGCCGCTGGCCTTGGCGCGGATCCCGGGAGGCGGCTGCGGGAGCGGCGCTCGGAGCTGCGACCTACCTGGGCCAACAGCAGCTCCCGCCTCAAGCCCGGGACTCGCGAGGCTGGGGGCTTCACACTCCCCTCCTGGCACCTTCCTCTGCAGGGAGGCTCTGGGGATCCCGTCCTTGCGTCACCCCAGGGAAACTGAGGCAGGGCCAGCAGGACAGGGGCTCCCCGGTAACCCCAACAGCGGCTGCTGCAGGGACGGAGACTCCGTTAATGTGAAAAATGAAGGGGGGATGCCAAGGAGCAGCAGGCAAAAAACGTCCACCATGAGACAAACCTAATGAGTCAAGGCCGATGAATTCCTCAGGGCTAAGGGAGGGAAGAAAGGCCAGGGAGGGAACTGGGGGGCACAGACCCTCCAGCCCGGTCCCAGCAGCTCTGTAGGCTCCAGGAGAGACACAGCCCCCGGGGGGCAGACGGAGAAGGGCACCAGCGGGAGCTCCCCGGATAAAGGGGCTGTTGGATGGGGCTGTGCCTGGCGGGCTGCCCCTGCACCCCAGGGTGCCGCTGCGGCAGCAGCTCTCGGCTCCAGCCTGGCTCTGCTCTCCCATCCAATCCACCCCGGCCGGAGGACAGTTGGGAGCGACGGGAATGGCCCTTATTAAGCTAAAAGCATTATCTAAACGAGCTGGCATGAGCGGGCGGCCACAGCGCAGCACATTTCCATGGGGCGCCCTGCAGGGCCAGGCCACCCCGTCCCCTCCCCTGTGCCTGCACCAGGGCACAGCGCCAGCAGCGGCCCCAGCGCCGGGGCAGGACGTGGGGGCTGCTGGACAGCATCTCTCCCTCGGGCGACGATGTGGAGGCGCTGGGAAAATAGCCTCTGGGAGAGGGGACCAGATGAGCCCCGACTGTCACTTCCCTGGGCCACGGAGTCGCTCTCCGGGGACAGCGCGGCCCGGGGATGTGGTGCTGGTGACAGGGAGTCACCGAGAGCTGCAGTCACCAGCAGGGTTCGAAGAAAAACCTCAGGCATCTCTCGCTATAAAAAACAAATCTTTTATGTAAAAAATAAACCTAAACAAAACCCACAACCCCCGCTGCCATGCTAGTGACAATACAAAAGGCCGATTCCCCAGAACACCATGGAAAATAAAGTAGCCGGGTCCAAATATATATAAATTGTCAACTCAGGAGACTGGAATTAGCACCTTGCTGGGCCCTCCCCGCAGGGTGAGCGCCGCCCCGAGCCCCCGGCAGCGCCCGCCGGGCCGGGCCGGAGCCGCTTCCCTGGGCGCTGCGGTGCAGCAAGGGGAACCGCGGCCCGGATGGACCCGCGGCACCCAGCAGCATCCCCAGGGGCAGCTGGCCAGAAGGGATCGCTCACATCCGACCTCAAACCAGTACTAAGAGAGGACAAGACCACTTTTCTGTCTGCACTGCAGGGTCAAGTAACAAAAAGAAACAGGAGAAATAATAAAAGCCCAGAGGGGAGCGACTGCATCCCACGCTCCGTCCCGGACCGGGTCGCGCTCCTCTCCACCCGCGGCTGCTCCACGGCCTCCCCGCTGCAGGCAGCGCTGCCTCCCTGCCGGCCCCGAGCAGCGGCTCGGGGTGAAAACGGTCCCTGTGTTGTCCCACACGCAGCCGGCCCGAGAGCCCCCGCACGGCCCGCACGTCACCGCACGGGGCCCGGCCCAGCAGTGCTCCGCGCTGCCGGTGCTGCCGAGGACACGTGAGCCACACGTGCCGGCACGTCCGCGCGTGCACGAGCCCAGGGCCTGGCTGGTTCTTCCCCAGGAGCTGGGCCGGGAGAGGCGGAGGGCTGGGAGGGCTGGGGGTGCCTCTTCATTTGGCCGGTTTGGTGATGATGCGGGCGGAGAAGTCGAACAGGTTCTTGTTGATCTTCCGCAGGGTGCTCACCTCCTCCTCGAGCTCGCTCACCTGGATCGTCAGATGCTCCTGGTCTCCCATCAGGTTCTGCGAGGGAGGAACATGACAAAGGAGCTTCAGGTTCCGGGCTCTCAACTCCCATGTCCTTGCATCCCCTTGCACCCCATCTCCTGCTCAGAGCACTCCTGCTCCTTGGCCCGGGTCCTAAGGCTGGTTCTGCTCAGCGGGGACGCCCCTGGGCTCCGCAGCCCCTCACACGGCTCTCACCTTTTCCCTCGTGGAGTACATCTGTGCGTACATCTTCTCCGCCTTCTCCAGGTAGCTCTCCCCGCACTCCTGCAAGGACCAGAGGGGGCAACTGACAGAGAATCTGGGTCCTCCCACAGGGGCCCAGGGCAGAGATCTCCCTTGGGGCCGGCAAAGACGCCCCTCGTTCCCCAGGTGCAGCCACGGGGGCAAAGCAGCGACTGAGCAGCTTCACGGGCTGCTCTGGAACAGGGGATCCTCGTGCCCGGCAGGACTGGGTTGGGGAGCTGCCCAACACCCCCTGCTCCAAACCCCACAGCGTCGATCCCCGCTGCGGGCAGGGGGGCTCGACTGACGGCAGGACCGACACCTCCCCAACAGCTCCAGAGCTGCCCTGTCCCGAGGAGGGGACAAACAGCCTCCCCAGAGGGGCTCCTGCCTCCGAGCACATCCTGGGAAAGTGCCAGCACTATGGCTCTCCAGGGACGGACGCTGCCAGACGGGGAACGTGAGGATGCCCGCGCGAGGCTCTGCTCCGCTCGTGCACGGAGCGGCACCGCGCGGCGCTTCCCGCTCCGCTGCCTCCCCGGCCGGAGCGCCAGGAGCAGTGGGTGAACGGAGGGGAGCCCGTGCGGCGGCACGAGGCTGCCAGGACAAATGACTGCACCAGCCGCGCGGCCGGCGACGAGGCAGGACGGATTTCACTGCAGTGGAGGATGCACTTTGCGCAGGGGAAAACAGCCCCTTGCAAAAGGAAAGCAGGAAAAAGCTGCTTTGCAGGCAGGACCCCGGGCACTGCGGTGCCCAAAGCCCAACATGCCACGGTGGGACAGGGACTTCAGAGGAGGCTTGTGGGGGCGCAGAGTGCCCCGCTCCTGCGGCGCCGTCCTCGCCTACCTGCTGGTGCAGGCCGAGCCGCAGCGTGACCCCGTTGCTGCCCTGCTCGTCGCTGCTCTCGGTGCCGTGCAGGTGCTTGCTGAACTTGGGCAGCGGCACGCTGGGCTTGCCGTCCGGGTTGAACATGTTGGCCGGCGCCAGCACGATGAACGCGTTCGTAACTGGACCTGCAGGGACGAAGCGCCAGGACGGTCAGCGGGGCAAGGGGGAACCCAGCGGGCCTGGGTCTCCTCCGGGAGCTGGGAAGGGGACACAAAGGGGCCAGGCCTCCCAACCCCAGCACCGCCGCGATCCCGAGCAGCGACGGGCAGGGACTTCTCCCATCTCTGCAGCTGGAACAGGGAGCACAGCAGGGCCCAGCCGCCCTCTGCAGAGCGGGGCCTCTGTCAGCCGCCGCGGCCGCCGCCGAGCCATCCATCACGCGCCGCGCTTGGCACAGCTAACGAGCGCTCTAATTACTGCACTTGCCCACACGGGCTGCTGCTCCGGGAGCAGCCCCCGCTCCCGCATCCATGCATCCCGGGCTCCCCGCACCAAGCGCGTCCCCCGCCTGCCGCCCACCGCCCAGAGGCTCCGGAGCGAGAGGAGCTGTGGGCGGCAGCGGCCCCATCCTGTCCCACGCTCGGCACCGCACGGAGCCTCCAAGGAGGCAGATCCTCGTCGTGGCTCTCACCCACAGCCCGAGGGAGAGGGGATGGCACAGAATGGGAGCCAGCAGGGAAGGGGCCAGCGGAGGCTCCCGGGCTCTGCAGAGGAGATGACAGAGCTGCTCCTCATGGCTCCCTCGTGGCCATCTCCACCTCCAGGCAGAGCAGGGGCTGCTCCAAACGCAGCTCCTGCTCCAAGCGCGAGAGCCAAGGCTCGATCCTAGCCGGCAAGTTAAAGGCTCCGTCAAACGCTCAGCCCAGGAGCTGCTCTGCCAGGAGGTCCAGACTTGCCTCCAAAGCTGCTCTTGCCAAAACTTTGCTGTAATAAACCATTTACTTTAATGTAGCTCCCTCACTAAGGAATAGCAGTTTGCTGCCTCTTACGAAAACATCCATTAGGGATATTACCCCAGCTGGCTCACCAGCTGCTCGCAAGGAAGTGTCAGGAAAGGCAGGGAGGACAAAGTCTCACAAAACCTCCTACAGGTCCTTGGACTCGACTCCATCAGGGAGAGTAAATAACCCAGCTTCTAGCAGGAGCGAGGATGGAGTCTCCTGTGCCGCTGGAACATGCAGGTA